GGCGCCCAGTTTTTAAAACTTTTTAACTGAGAGTTTTTGCTAACTTGAAAAAATACCCTTTAATTGCTCCTCAAAAGGGCAAACAGTTCATTTTCAGAATTTGGAAAGAAAAGCAGTTCAGATGATAGCATTTTAAAGTTTATACCAAGGTATATACAGTGTTTGGCTAAGAGTGTTTGCCCTGGAATTAATTATTCAAGTCACTGAGGGGTATCAGTAGTGTTTTGTTAAGCTTGATTCCTATGATAATCTACTTCTCTGAGAGTAGATGCCATGCCCAGTCATCTGGTCTACCAAGAGTGCCTTGAATTACAAAGATGCCCAGGTGGGAAGGTTAGATATATAGATGTGTGATAAAACAGAAAAAACAAAATGTTAATTGCTGTGTGTGATGTCAGTAGATGTGATGGAGTGTGAGTGGTAACTGGAACTTCTTTCAACTTTTTCATATGTTCAGAAGTTTTCATTATAAAATGGTGGCGGAGGAAAGCTTCTGGAACTGCAGGTTAGGGTGACTTCCTTTACATATCCGTTATTTCATTTGGATGTGGCTCAGTTGCTTTTCTGACAATATTATAATAATTAGGTAACACAATTGGTGGTCTAACACCCAGGCTTTAACTTTATTTGTGTCTTATTTAAAATGGTGGCTATGCTGCTGAATTAAGTGTGGGAACATTTTTTAGTGAAAACCACTGTAGAGAAGTGTTATATATTATTACTATTTTTACTCACAGAGGAGTGCTTTTGAGGTGTTTTCTGGCTTCTGAAATGGGGTGGTTTCCTCAGTGTCATAAGGTTAAATTGTAGGCTTGCCCACCCCCTTATTTGCAGAGTATTATTTATTGGAAAGCATTCTTCTTTCTGTTTTCACAGCCTTCTCCCGTAGTCTGGACTAGGTTTTTAATAAAATGTACACCTTTATGTTGTTACTGACATGTTTCTTTGACCACTTTAGAGTGGTTTCTGGTGTATGGTAAATAATTGCTTACTAAGTGAATGAGTGAAAGCTTAGGAGAAATGGGGGTAGGAATTCTTCCTCCTTTTTCTGTGAGAAACTTCTTATTGCCCCAATTTGGGATTGAATTTTTTGAATGATGTATAAATTATTTGTAGGGTTAATACATTTTTAGAAATTTTAGAGATATTCTAGGAAGATTTTTTTTTTTTGTATGCGAACTATTTATAGTTAGAATCATGTGAGTACAGGGAGTACAGAACAGCTCTCAAGGCAAAGACAGGAGGCATTGATGCCTCTATTGCTGCCATTTTAGGAAAAGACAAGATTTCACACCTATCTTTGTGGGTTTTGTCTAGTTACTTTTTCTGAAGATTAATAAAGGCTGAGTTTCTGTCTTCCTGACTAAGCTTCAGAGCACCACAAGTAGAGTGGACGCTAAAGGTAGGATCATACTTTTTTCTTACAAAAATGAGGAGCAGAGCTTTTTCTCCTTGCCTGGTAAACATACTCATAGCAAAAAAGTTATAAACCAATTTGAACGTTTTGGAATAAGAAAAACATGTAGGATTCTGACATCTTTTAACTACAAAGGTGCTAAAAGAAACTTGTGTTTATTGAAAGATTTGAGCTTAGTTTTAATTAGACATTAAACATTCTGTTTAATTAGCTAACTTAACATTTTATAGTTGACTAAATCATTATTAAAGTCCCACCATCCTGATTTTTTTCAAAGAAGTCATGACCTCTGAGCCAGAAGTGAATGAAGTCTGTAGGACTGGACGACTTTGGCCTGTAACTTGGAAGGGGAAGTATTTGCTTCTACTTTCTAGCTAGCACTACATTTTGGCATGCTGTATCATAGTACATGCCACAAAGTTCCCACTTCTGTTTTCACCAAGTTATGCTAACAATTTCTTACTTATGATTAGATTTCCACAATGCAAGTCCTTCTGAGAGAGTTAATAGAATTAGCAGATGCTATCTGATGAAATAGTCATTTCCAGATACCAGTAGACTGGTGATACTTTTGTGTAATAAACATTCTGTAAGACAGATTTTCTTTATGAAGAAAATACCTATCTCCCTTGATCATAGTCTTAAAGTCCTGGTGATATTTCTGTGACATTGCCATTCCTCAAATTAACTATGTATGGAAAGCTTAGACAAGTTTAATCCAAGCTTTTTCAAAAACAGTGAGTCTTCTTAAATGCTGTTGACAAAAATAGGAAATGTGCGGAAGGCTTTAGGTTACCAACACCTTTCTTGATCCAGCAGATTTCTTTGAGTTTGCCCCCTTTGTTTAGAATATGAGGAGAGAATGGAATCCATGCAAAAAAGGATCAAGGAAGCACTGTATCTTGTAGTACTTATAGGTGACTGGAAATGAATGGGGAAAAGAACTGATAGATTTTGTAATAAAGCAAACAGTTTTAATTTTTTAATTCTAAATACTCAAGAGTAGAACTTGTAATACATGTAGAGCAGGAATCAGCAAATTTCCTCTGTAAAGACCAGATAGTAAATATTCTAGGGATTTGTGTGTGATATGTTCAGTGTTGGAGCTGCTCAACTTTGCAGTTGTAGTGTGAAAGCAGCCATTGATGATATGTAAATGAATAACTGTGGCTGTGTTCCAATAAAACTTTATTTATGGACACTGAAACTTGAATTTCGTATCATTCCCACATGTCACAAAATGATTTTTTTTTTTACCTCCAATCATTTAAACTGTGAAAATCATTCTTAGCTCACAGGTCATCGCAAAAATAGGTGGCGGGCTGTTGTTTGCCGATCCCTAAATCTCAGTTAGTGATACTGCTAACTAATAAAGTATATGGCATGATGGTGGGCTAAAGTATCTGTTCCATGGCCTAATGTGCTTTTTAAGCACTCCTTACTCCACTCAAGAGGAGTTTAAAAATGTCAAATTTGCTTTTATCTTTGAGGCCAGATGAGGATAATAAAGTAGTAATATGAGAGAACGTGTAGTAAGACTCAAGGGAGTTAGACCACTGATACCCTTAGGAATTTGCTAAAAGCACAAAAATAACACCATTACATTCAGCAGGCACAGTTCCTTGAACTCAGCAGTAGGAAGAGTGCAGAACTCAGTGGGGATATCTTCTGGATTTAACTACAGAGCTCTGAAGATTCTAAATCCATCAGAATCCAGTCATATAGTTTTGTGAGACATTTCTTGGAATGACACCTGAGAAAGTTCCCACTTACAAGTACAGAAGAAAATAAAATGAAAGAACCTTTGAAGAAATCGAGTACATTTTATTGGCTCTTGCTACAGCAAATTTCTTGGATCTATTCAGAGATAAACTTAAGTGAAGAAGGCATTGCTACTTAATTTAATCAGCATTTTAAGGATTTAGTGTTGGCAAGATATTTGGAAATGTTGCAAAATACAAAATATTTTCAGATTTTTGATCCAGAAATGTAGACTGGGATTTTGCCAAGCCTGTTCCTTACGCAGTATGATGAGAATGTTTCTTCCTTGCTTTGGTTTCTTCCAGCTTGTAGAGTAGGTGAAAAAAATTGGCTAGCTTGTAAGGAAACACTCCCACTCAAGAAAATAGTTCATATTGTAAAGAATAGAGAAATTTTTCTTGAACCAGATCAGTCAAATTTAATGAAGATTAGGCAGAAGAAATGCAGCATAAGAGGCAGAATCAATTGTTAGTGATAGCTTGGGAAATGCAGCCAGTTGAACAGAATTCTATAGGGCAAAAGTTTTATTTCAGTGGGTTCAAATGGAGTTTGTTTTTATATTTTTATAAATAATATTTTTATACTTTTAACTTTTTGTTTTGAAAATGAGTGTTGTTGTACTCACTTCATATCAGGAAGACATTAAATTTAGAAAACATAACTTTGGTCATACTGACTTTTTTGTTTTTCCTCTTTAAATTTTTTATTGTTATGTTAATCACCATACATTACATCATTAGTTTTTGATGTAGTGTTCCATGATTCATTGTTTGTGCATAATACCCAGTGCTCCACGCAGAATGTGCCCTCTTTAATACCCATCAGCAGGCTAACCCATCCCCCCACCCCCCTCCCCTCTAGAACCCTCAGTTTGTTTTTCAGAGTCCATCATCTCTCATGGTTTGTCTCCCCCTCCGATTCCCCCCCTTCATTCTTCCCCGCTATCTTCTTCTTTTTTTTTTTCTTAACATATATTGCATTATTTGTTTCAGAGGTACAGATCTGTGATTCAACATTCTTGCACAATTCACAGTGCTTACCATAGCACATACTCTCCCCAATGTCTATCACCCAGCCACCCCCTCCCTCCCACCCCTCACCACTCCAGCAACCCTCAGTTTGTTTCCTGAGATTAAGAATTCCTCCTATCAATGAGGTCATATGATACATGTCTTCATACTGACTTTTTTTCTGTTCATGGATTTTTGTTAGCTGTTGTGTAAATGGGGAGAAAACTTGATAGATGTTAGATGTCTTAAAGTTGGATAGCTTCGTTTGAAACTGATAATTGACAGTATTTATAAATAAAATGGGTTGATAAATTTGTGGTGTTTGATATACCCAGAGAGGTTGAGATTACTTTTTTTTTTTTAAGATTTTATTTATTTATTTGACAGAGAGAGACACAGCGAGAGAGGGAACACAGGGGGGCAGTGGGAGAGGGAGAAGCAGGCTTCCCGCGGAGCAGGGAGCCCGATGCGGGGCTCAATCCCAGGACCCTGGAATCATGACCCGAGCCGAAGGCAGACGCTTAATGACTGAGCCTTAATAAATACCTTTCTAATGCTAACCTAACTGAGTGACTTGAGATGTCTATAAAGTACTTTGAAATAATAAGCAAAAGTTTTAGAGTTTTCCTTTTGTTTTATGGGAAAATAAGCTCTCCTCTTTGGCCTAATTATGAAATTTACATTTGTGATTGGCTAATGAGCTGGAGTGAAATCAGGGAAACTTGGGATGTTAGATTTGAAAATCAGAACGGGCACTGCTGTGTTTTTCACAGGAGCTGATGTGTTCTCTTGTGTTTGACTCTTTTTTCCAGTGAAACCAGCAGTGTGTGTAGCAGCAGTGACACAGGGCTCTTTACCAACGATGAAGGACGGCAAGGTAATCTTGATCCCAGCTTTGGGCTGTTGGTTTGGTATTTCTGGGGAGATTCTAATGATTAGAGGAGTGACTCACTTGAGAATATGGTGGTTGTTTATGGCAGTGGTTCTCAGACTTTAGAGCATTTGAAGGCCACCTGTTAAAATTCCTGAGCTCCTAGAAATCAAATAGGTCTAGAGTTGGCCCCTGGAATCTGAATTTTTCATAAGTACCTGCAGTGATTTTTATGCAGGTAGTTCAGACTTTGTGAATCATTGATTAGGGGAATATAGTGTCAAGGATGGGACTTGAGGAAGTTGCTAATTTTATTAGAACCAAAAAATATCCTTCTGTATTATACTTTTTATTGGATATTAAGACATTCTTATTTTTACCTAAGAATTTATTTTTATAACCTTATTTATAAATGAGCATAGTGTTCTAGATGAATATATTATAGAAAACATCTTCTTTATAATGTTAAAACTCCTGAAGTTTAGCATAGAGCACTGTGAATAAGGCTGGTATATGTTAATTACCAGTTCTTTATCTTTATAGCCTAAACAGTAATTTGAAACTTTGTTTTATCCTGTGCACTTGCTTAGGACCACACTAATTGTGTACCAATAATAATTTCATATAGCTTTGTGACTGTAGTTCTGATAATCTAAATAAGGGATTTGTAGATGTCTAAAGTCCCTTTTAGCTCTGAGATCCAATGATTTTTCTTTAAGGTTTAAGTGACTGAAGGACGGAAGCACAATGGCTATATGCCCAGGTTGATCCAGATAGGCTCCCTAGTAACTGAAGGAATCCTGGGACTGTGACACTCAGGATCCAACTTCTGATTTTGGAGAGAGATCATGGGGCAGGGTATCTGACCTATGCCTCAGAGTCGTGGGCATGAATGGAGTTGCTGAGCTTCCTCCTATAATAGAGGTTGTTGTGAGTACATTTCTGTCCCTTTCTGATTCTGAGGGAGCTATGTGTCATTAGAGGCTGTGTGTGTATACTCCCAGGTAGGGTGCAGCTAAGGTCTTGATTCTTTTGTCTCATACCAGGGAAGTCTGGTTGTCTTTCCATGAATAAACCAGTGCATACTATTCAGAATTACAAATTTTGCTTTTTCTTTGCTTTTATACTGTTCTATGGAGTATCACAATGTGTCTCTCTCTCTTTTTTAAGATTTTATTTATTTGAGCAAGAGACAGAGATAGCGGCAGAGAGCATGAGCGGGGAAGAGAGGGAGAAGCAGGCTCCCTGCTCAGCTTCTGGGTGCTGAGCAGGGAGCCTGACACAGGGCTCCATCCCAGGACTCAGGGATCATGACCTGCGGGGAAGGCAGACACTTAACTGACTGAGACACCCAGGCGCCCCTCACAATGTGTGTCTTAAAGACTATGATGTGTAATTATCCAGAGGTTTAAGAAAGTGTGGACAGATTAAGTGTTGGGCCTTTGGAAAATGATAGATTAAATGTTAAATGTTAAATGAAAGATTAAGTGTTGGGCCTTTGGAAAAACCTTTCTACTGGTAAGGAATCTTTGGTTTATGATGGAAGATTTTAGAATATTCTATAGCCCCAGCTTTCCTCTCTGTCTCAACTTCATGCATTCTGATGATGTTTAGATTCTTGGAGTTCTCAGCACAAAGCTATGTTATTTTCTGCTTCCATGTCTTTTTTTATGCTGGTATCTTTGCCAGAAATCTCATCCTTACCTTTTCTTGAATGGTGGGTCATCCACCGAGACACAGTTTTCCTTTTGTCCCTCCAGGACATATTTATGGACTGAATCAGTGGGGTCTTTTGCTCTCAATTTCTTATGGGGTTTGGCCAATAGGAGGCATTAGCAGAGGAGTGGAGGGAGGGAGGGAGGTGAATGATATTGAGTGTATTAGGCAAGTTTTTATCATGATAATACTGTTTAACAGCTCCAGAATTTCAGTGGTTTACCACATTTATTTCTTGCTGTGGGGCTGGGCGTTGGCTGTGGTTCAGCTGATCTAACTTGAGCTCAGCTGGTCTCTAGGCTTTAAATTAGGTTTGTATCTACTCAGCGTATCTTATCATGGGACCTCTCCTAGAGGCTCTGTGTGGCATGGGCTTCTCTTGCTGGAAAACGTGAATGCTAAGTGACCAAACCAGAGCATACATACATATTTAAAGCTTGTGCTTGAGTCACATCTGCTAATGTTCTACTACCTAAAGCAAGTTATATGACAAGCCAGTTATCAGTGGGATGAGGAAGTATGCTCTGCCTCAAGGGGAAGGCTCTGGAATTTCATGATAAAAGGCAAAAGGCGTGGATGTATTATCATAGGGAGGTAGTGAAGAGTTCCAAACAATAATGCAGTCTACCACATTGGATTGTAGCTTTCCCTGGCTCCCTTTCTGTTCGGCAGCCTTCTATAACCTCTGTTTTCTCTCTGGTCTCTGATAACCATTTTTTCTCCTTGCTGCTTCAGGTTTAGGAAGGGTAAAGATTCCCCACTGTGCTGGCTCCAGGGTGCTTCACCATCCCTTATTGGTTTCTGTTAATACTGTCTACACTTTTGTAAATAGTCACTTCATTAAAGTCTCGATTATCCCATTTAAATGTGTGTGCATTTCCTGAGGATTCCGACTGATAAACACTCAGTGCAGGTCTCATGTCCTAGAACCCTTACTCTTTCTTTCTCTATACTTAGTGCTTTCTTATCACTTACCATATGACGTTATTGTTTATAAATGTGTGTCTTTTCCATTGAAGCCTTCCAAGACAGGAATTTTTTTTTATTATTTGAAACTACAGTGGGTAACACATTGCCTGGCATATAGTAAACTCTTTATTAGTTACTGGGAAGGCCAGATAAGGGGGAAATTCTCCTTCTCCCTCAAATAGAATTAGATATAGAACCTCAGATTATAAAACAGCTAAACCTATTTTGGTTAAAGCAAGAGGAGCAGGAAGTCCGGAGCCTGACCCATCAGCCTCTTCCTTATTCTCTGGCCAGTAGTCTTTTGGGGGAGCTGCTGCATCATGCATCCTAGTGAACCCAGGGTTGGGGACTTACTGGTCTGGATGACTTCACAAGGTTTCCTCCAATGCAGTGAGTCCCTTTTTATATTGCCAGAAATCTTGAGTGAATGCTTAAGAACCAAAAAAATGCCATTATGGGATGCCATTAGTCTTCAGGAAATATGATCTAGCTAACTATCCTGTTTTAATAAATGGCCTAAGGAATGCTTATGAATAAGAAAGGAATTAATATATTGACATGCAGAGAAACTAATCGTTCTTAATTCTGAAGCCTGTCTTTAGTTCATCTTGTGTACGTGGTTTGGTGAGGGTAGTGATTCTCAAAATGTGGTCCTGAAATCAGCTTAACATCACTTAGGGAACTTGTTAGAAACGTAAATTTTTGATCCTTCCCGGACCAGAATCAGAAACTTTTGGGGGTAGGGCCCAGCAGTCTGTTCTGACAACACTTTCTGCTCCTTTTGATGTACATTGAAGTTTGAGAACCACTGTTCTAGAGAAACAGCTGTTGGTGGTGTGTTTTTATAAGGGAACACTTTGAGTAACTTTTTTGCGGGCATTTTCATTTTCCCTTTTAGAGATCTCCAACGTGAGTTAAGAGTTATCATTATCTTGTTAGATAATGTTAGTGGCCCATGTTAGTGGCCCATGAATCTGATACTTCATGTGCTTAACACGGCCTGAGCAGTTTTCCTTGGGATCCGGCATATATTAGAGAATGAATACACCGTGAACTCTTTTAGATGTTCTTGTAGTAATTCCCTTCATCCTTGCTATTTTGAAAGGAGTATGGAGTGGCAGACCTAAAGTTATCTGTCGTACTACTTTTTGTGGGCAGGAACAAGTTCTGTTGCAAACTGAGATGCTGTCATCCTAGCCAGTAGAAAGAGGTTTGAGCCAAGAGTCTGGCTATATGGGTCTAGTCTTGACTTTGTCACTGATGAAGAGTCTGGCCTTGGGCAAATGGTGTAACTTTATGACAAGCCGTGGGGGATTATATTGCTTGTCCCTGTGGTTAGTTTTTTCCTGGTTGCTTGGATTGCTAGTGTCAAGATGATTTTTCTGTTGCATTAATGGGGTACCAAGGAAGAATTGAGGTATGGGTATACATTTTTAATTCACCTATTATGAGAAATGCAAATATAACATCCCTCTGGAATAGCTAGTTTTGAATTGAGAAACATTTGTGGGCTGTGAACCCCCAAGTCCATTTATACCACAGCATGGTACATAAGAGGCAACTTATTTTTGTGTTAAAGGCTTTGGAGTTAGTCAGGCTTTAGGTTCAAATCTTGGCTTCATCATTTACTAACTTGATCTTGCCTTCTCTGGGCTTTAATTGCTTCATTTATAAGTTGAAATTAGTGTAGGGTTTAGAAGAGATAGTATACTGACAGATTTTTAGCATGGACCCTCATAGGTGGTAAGGGTTTAGTAAATGGTAGCTTTATTAGTTTTTTACTCTCAAAAAAAGTCCAGTGTACCACAGTATGACATTTGTGAAACTAGTTTGACACTCTAGATTTCATCATAATACAGATAAAAAAGAAGGATCAAAACAATTTTTTTGTACTTTGATTTTATTTAAAAAGTATAATCAAATCTATAGCTCTGAGAAATCATCCTCCCGTTTGGTTTTCCATAGAACATGTTAAAATTCCAACTTAACGATACCATCTTTTTACTTTAGGGGATGATGAGCAGAGTGATTGGTTCTATGAGGGAGAATGTGTCCCAGGATTCACTGTCCCTAATCTTCTGCCGAAGTGGGCTCCTGATCATTGCCCTGAAGTAGAAAGAATGGATTCTGGACTGGATAAACTTTCCGATTCCACATTCCTTTTACCTTCTCGACCAGCTCAAAGAGGCAAGTTCTGGAGACCAAAATACACTTCACATTTTTATGGTTCTCTTTGGGGAGAATCATCCCATGGCAAGCATACTCATGCCTCTAAGCATGCATTAACTATGTGAATTTTGAAGCTAGTCCAGGGATTTTTCTAGAAGATTCAAGGGTGAGTCTCAAAGCTTGAGGTTCTCCATTCGTACCTAAATCAACCCATGGAGACTCTTGGGATATCTATTAGCAGGGCATTCCTTCAGCTTGCTATTGCCATTTGTGCCAGATTTAGGAAGCCTAGCAGCGTGTCACTGCTGCTTACCTGCTGTGAAACCGATGGGCTATGGAGTGCTCAGTGGGAGCCTGAAGTATTGGATCTTGGAAGAGAACAGATTTCAGTAAGAACATTCACATACAAGGTATAATGACATTTTTTTTAATTGGATGATTTTAAAATAATTCCTTAAATAATTTTATTCTCTTATTGTGGACTTAAACACAAATACATCCTTTCTTTTTGCTTTTCCTTTACTTATGATATAGCAGGGTAGAGTGGAAAGAGCCTAGGACAGGGGGAAGGAACTGGGGTGATAATACTCTGAGGTACTGTCTTCTAGCTCTGACTAAGACAGAGTCACTTCATTTCCTTGGGACATGGGGGTCATCACTTAAAATAATTGCGGCTTTGAGCAAACTGTTTCAGGGGTTTCTCTTAGCTCTATAAATTTATGATTCTGGGGTGCCCAGTAATCAATCAGTCAGTTATCAAGTATTTGTTGGGCATCTGTTGGTGGACAGAATTGTGCCCAGAGCTGTAAACTCCTATAGCATTTTGTTATGATAAATTTGGGTGATTGAAAGTCCTTCTCAAAACAGTTGGCTCTTGGTAAAGATTATTGCCTGGCTGAAGCACAAATTTGCTATCTTAATAACATTCCTCAAACATTTCAGCGACAATTTCTGAAAGTTCTTTACGGACCACTTAAAATGCACACAAATAAGAACAGGAAGAACAATTTAAAATGGCCTGTAATTCCATACCCAGAGACAGTGTCATTGTTAACACTTGGGTGTGGATTCTTCCAGTTGGGTTTTTTATGTATAGAATACATACAGCAATTAGAAAAATGGGACTATACTATACAGGCTATTTTTACTATTCTATGACTTAAATGTTTTTGAAATAATAACTAGCATTTAATTTGTAATTAGAAATTGTTGATAATGCCTTTTATTTGTGTAGTGTTTTCAGTTTATAAAGTACCTTCGCTGTGCTATTTCATTGAGTCTTCACATCAGCCCTGGATGATAGGACTGAGCGAGTGATTATCCCTCCTTTCTAAGTGAAGATGCCTAGGTCAGAGGTAAAGACACACACTTAAGATCATACTGCAAAGACAGAATAATAAATACTTGGCAAAAAGACTAGTGATACTAGTTTAAGAGTCAGTCTATGCACAAACAATGAATCATGGAACACTACATCAAAAACTAATGATGTAATATATGGTGATTAACATAACAATAAAAAATTTAAAAAGAAAAAAAAAAAAGAGTCAGTCTAGTAAGATCCTGGGGAGGAAGGCCTTTGGTGTACTAGAAGCCTATCATTGCTAATGAATTCTTCTGCATTCCGTTTCTGAGGACTTTCTTCTTTTTTTTAGGGTACCATGCCCGCTTGAATCGTCTGCCTGGAGCTGCAGCTCGATGCCTCAGAAAGGGCCGAAGACGGCTTGTTGGGAAGGTGACTGCTCTTACTGTCTACTGGGCTCACTGGGAGACTGGGAGGACAATAATCCCTGTGGGATTTGTGTACCCTGTTGATAAGCAAAGGTGCTGCAGAATTCCTTGGAGTAAATTAAGCCAACTGAAATATTTTGCAAGTTCATAAGAGTGAACCTTAATGGAGGCTATAACTGGATACACACATAAAAGATGAAGCTGAACTCGTACATAAGTTTTGACAAAGCAAATACAGTTATGACAGTTTGTCTATAAATCTACAGGCCTGCTCTTGTCTCTTCTATTCTTTTGATTAACCTTATATTATTATTGTAGAAATTAAAATACTCTTGGCTTCTTTATAAGTCCTGAATTCATGAATGCTTCTTCTGTCCTCACTTTGGTCTTTTATTCTAGAATTCATTAAAAAGTAAAAAACTGGAAAGAAAACCTGTTATCAGATTTCAAAAGCTTCTCCTTGGCCACATGGGAGGACTCTCTACCATTTATTCAGTTCTGCCTTTGTCAGGGACTGTACTGGGCACTCAGTTCATTTAATCCTCCTAACAACCTTATAGAACAGGTGATATTCCCACTTAGCAGATGAGGAAAACTTGGGTTCAAAGAAGCTAGGTAATGTCTGATATTACCCAGATAGAAGTTGCAGAAGAGAGGATTGAACCCAGCTGTACTTCTCTTTTATCTTTTAATATTATTAATTTTTTTGAAGATTATTTATTAATTTGAGAGAGAGCACAAGTGGGGGGGGAGGGGTAAAGGGAGAGGGATGAGCAGACTCCTCCTGAGCAGGGAACCAGTCGATCCCAGGATTCTGGGATCATGACTTGAGCTGAAGGCAGACACTTAACTGACTCACCCAGGTGCCCCTAAAAATTTAATTAATTTTTTACTCTAGCTTTGAGATAGAAGGTAGGTTAAGAATGGGGCTCATACCTAGTTAGAGAAGATGGTGGTGGGCAAAGGGCAATTTCAGAACATTAATGCGGTCACTGCATAAACATTTAGAATGCCTACTCTGTGTCAGGCTCTGTGCCAGGCCAGGTACATAGTGATCACAGCCACAGCCTGGCTACCCTCAAAGGGCTACTGTTTTGTAGTTGAAATAAGGAACCGTTTTCTGAAATTTTAGCTATGTAAAAGAAATGAAGCTATTTATTTCCAGGTGAACTCAGATATTTTTAATCTTTAAATTCAATTTCAAATCTCTTAATTAGAAAGACATTTGATTATTGGAAGAATGATACCTTTTTCTTTTGCCTCATTGATTTCACAGACATTAAAATGCTACTTTCACTGTTCTGGGAGCTTATTCTTAGTTAACAGGACAGCTAATACGGTAGGAATATGTAAGGTGGAGGGAGGCAGGAGGTTGGGAATAGGGAAGAGAGAGATGGTTTTACTTTTTCTCTTTGTCAGTTAGACTTGAAAGATAATGTTCTACCTACTATCTACCTTACTTTGTTTCAGCTCCTGTAAAATAAGAGCCTTTTACTTCCATGGAAGTAAATCAGTTCGTCTTGAAGGCTCCCTTTAGCTTGCCTGGAAGGAAACTCCAGGGCCTGTTGGATGTGCCTCTAAGAATTTCAAATGAATAGGATAATATTTACTTGTTTAATTCATCTTCATCACCTTAAAGGGATATTTGTCATTTGTAGCAGAGGTCAATGTTCTGCCCCCCTTCTTTCCCCTCCCCCACCTCTCTTCTCTTTTTCTAAATTGTAATCATAAATAATGAGTTTCATTCACACCTCCCTGCCAACGAACTGCTAATTACGCAAAGTACTGCTTGTAATTTACACAGTAATAAACTGTAAATTTAAACATTACGGCCCTTTAAGTTAATAATTTTTCTGCAGTAACAAATAGCTCATTTTTCACCCGTCCTTTCCCTTGGCCCCACTATTATGGCTGTGTCTGTGACCAGGAGGCATGTGCGTAATGGATGAAGAATGTGAAGAATACAGTATGTGAAACCTTTTCATTTAGCGCCACTCCCGCCCAGAATCTGACCTCAAATTAATTTTTCTGTAGTCAGTTGTACCCTAATATTTTAGGCTAATCCACACACATAAATGAATACCGATCATAATATTTGCCCAGTAACAAATGTGTTTGAGTAACAGGCTTCACGTTCTTGACATTCATGCCCATGACTTACGTGCTTTCATTTTAACATATACTCTGATGTGCGTAACTCTTATTCATGTACCATTGGTGCGCTTCCCCAGGTACTGTGATAGACATTCATTGTAAATGTACTCAAGTTAAATAAAGGGTGAGTGCCTTGTGCCATTTTTCAGTTTTTTTGGAGATGATTAGTTTCTGAATTGCTTGTGGTGTTATGAGTAAGATTTCATATTACAGTCTTAAGAACCCTAAATTTAAGAACCAATTTGTACAAACTTCTGCTTTACTTTAAGAGATGATGCTTAAGAGATAAGACAGGGTAACAGTTTTTGTAAGTTATAAATTCCTTTAATATGTGTACATTTAGTCAGCAGATACTAGGTGTTACCAGTGAGGACTGGGTAAATTTCCCATTATGAAGGCTATTGGGGCTGTAATTGTATGATCTGGGGAGGTTGGTGTGCAGCCTGTTAAGTTCTATATACTTTAATAACTCATTATTAAATTGCTATCTATAGTAAACAAGGTTTGTAATGACTTTTTTGGAACACTAGAGAAAAATAAGTCTAGAATAACGTAACACTTTTAAGATAGATTCCCATAAAAAGAAATAAACTTGCTGTTGGATTTTAAGATTGACATTTGACATGTGCCTTTGAAGTTGCTGGCACAGTTACGGGTAAGTGTGAACTTGATGACAGATCATACTTTATTTGTTTCTGTGGTTAGATGACACTCTTGTCTTCCTTGCCTTTGCAGGAGACCAGCATAAGTACTGAGAGAATAGGCCACATCATTAGTGACCCTCGGCAGAAGGAGTAAGTGCTTATATATTTACTCATTATCCTAGCCCATTCCTTGGAGTAGGAGACAGAGGGAAGTTTTACGAGGGAACCTAGAAATCTGACCTGAATGAGATCTTAGAGATTTGTACTTTACAACAGTTAACATGGCTAATGCTCTAATCTCATGAGAGTGATTTTTTTTTCCTTTCTAGACTAATTTTTATTTCTTTGCTGTTTATATGTATGGATGCTTTATAAAAGTAGCATCCAATTAGGATGTTACTATTTATTTATATTGATTGGGATTGATGTGTAACATTACATAAGTTTCAGGTGTACAACATTGTAATTGAATATTTGTGTCCACTACAAAGTGATCACCATAAATCTAGGTGCCATACATCAGCTTGAAATGGAGCCCTTTCACCCACCCCTCAACCCCCTTCTCCTCTGAGAACCACCAATCCATTCCTTGTATCTATGAGTTTGTTTTGTTTTGTTTTATTCTTTCATTTGTTTTGTTTTTAGCTTCCACATATAAATGATATCATAACAGTATTTGTCTTCTTTCTCTGATTTATTCATTTAACCTAATCCCTCAGGGTTTGTCCATGTTGTCACAAATGGCAAGATTTCCTTCTCTTTTATGACGGAGTAGTATTCCATTGTGTGTATGTATATTTTTGTATACACCACATGTTCTTTATCCGTTGATGAACACTTAGGTTGTTTCCATATCTTGGCCATTGCAAATAATGCTTCAGTGAACATAGAGGTGTATATATCTTTTCAAGTTACGTTTTCATATTCCTTGGATAAATATGCAGAAGTGGAATAGCTGGATCATATGATACATCTATTTTTAATTTTTTGAGGAATCTCCATACTGTTTTCCACAGTGGCTGCACCAGTTTACATTCCCACCAACAGTGTACTAAGATTCATTTTTCTTCACATCCTCAACAACACTTGTTATTTCTTGTTTTGTTGATAATAGCCATTCTAACAGGTGTGAGGTGATATCTTATTGTGGTTTTGATTTTCATTTCTCTGAAATTAGTGATATTGCGCATCTTTTCATGTGCCTGTGGGCCTGTGTGTCTTTGGGGAAATGTCCTTCACGCCCTCTGCCCATATTTTAATTGAATTGTTTGGGGTTTTTTGTTGTTGAGTTATGTGAGTTCTTTATATATTTTGGATGTTAATCCTTTATCTCATACATGATTTGCAATATCTTCTCCCATTCAGTAGGTTGCCTTTTTGTTTTATTGATAATTTCCTTTGCTGCACAGAAGCTTTTTAGTCTGATGTCCCATTTATTTTTGTTTTTGTTTCCCTTGCCTTTGGAATCAGACACCCCCCCCCCAAAAAAATCAAAAGAGACCCATGGCAAGGAGCTTACCACCTGTGTGTTCTTCTAGGATTTTTATGCTTTCAAGTTCTACATTCAAGTCCTTAATCTATTTATTTTGAATTAATTTTTGTGTATGGTATGATAATGATCTAGTTTTCTTCTTTTGTATGTGACTGTTCAGTTTTCCCAGTATCACTTATTGAAGAGACTGTCTTTTCTCCATTATATATTCTGGCCTCTTTTGTTGTAAATTAATTGACCATGTTTGCATGGGTTTATTTCTAGGCTCTCTCTTCTGTTCCATTAATCTGTGTGTCTGTTTTTATGCCCATACCTTAGTATTTTGGTTACTATAGCTTTGTAGTATAATTGGAAACCAGGGAGCATGATACCTCCAGCTTTGTTCTTTCTCAAGACCGCTGTGGGTATTCGGGGTCTTTGTTGGTTCCATACAAATTTTTAGAATTATTTGTTCTAGTCCTGTGAAGTATGCCATTGGGACTTGAATCTGTAGGTTGCTTTGGGTAGTATGGACAGTTTAACAGTGTTAATTCTTCCAGTCCATGAGCACAGAATATCTTTCTGTTTATTTGTGTCTTCAGTTTCTTTCTTCAGTGTCTTGTAGTTTTCAGTGTTCAGGTCTTTCACCTCCTCAGTTAAATTTATTCCTGGGTATTTTATTCTTTTTAATATAATTGTAAATGGGACTATTTTCTCATTTCTCTTTCTGATAGTTCATTATTAGTGTAGAGAAACACAACAGATTCTGTACGTTGATTTTGTATCCTGCAGCTTTGGAATTCATTTATCAGTTCTAACAGTTTTTTGATGGAGTCCTTAGGGTTTTCTATGTATGGCATCATGTCATCTGCAAACTGATAGTTTTACATCTTCCTTTACAGAATGTTATATTTTAAGCTAATTTTTTCTGTCTCTTAAAATTGTTTTTGTTCAAAATACCTCTGTATTCTCCTATAGGCTGCTTTTCCCATTTTTAGACCTCTATCTAGAGAAATATCTTTTTGTCTTCACTACTGTGGACATGCAACTGGAGAGCCTGTGTTATAGGAAAAGTATCCCCCCTTTCTTGTGACAGCCTTGTCCCCTAACATGACTGGCTATTTGATGTCCCCTGTGTACTTCATGGTTAATATCTAGTTCTGATCCTATGCTCATTAGCCTGGTCAAATTTGTCATTTGTGAGTATGTTTTGTGTTCTTGTTGAATTTGGGGATCCTGTTGTCACTACATAGGTGAGAGTATGTTGGTGGGTTTGTTTTTAGAGAGTCCAGTGTTTTACATTTCATTATAAGACTTTTTCCTTTGAAGAGTTATTTTTCACAAAAAACGTTTGTATACATTTACCATCCCTCTCCTTTTCTCCTTCGGTTCCTTCTTTTACCCAGTTCTTTTCTTCGTTACCCCAGCATCTTTTTTTTCTGCTCCTCCTCTGTAATTTCCAGTTGCTGCTTTTATTTTCTTTCTGTTGTTCTCTCCCTCTCTTTAGTTTCTGGTTACCATCAGCTGGGAAAAGAGAACGAAATCAGGTAAGATCGCTTTTCTTTGTCATCTTTATTTTATCATTTGATTTCCTTTTCTTTAGAAAGAATAAAGCATTGGCTTCTGATTTTCCTCACATTTCTGCTTGTGCCCATGAGGTAAGGTCCTATGTTACGGTTTTTTTTTTAGAGGACTGTTGTCTAAGATTATCTGATATTGATTGATAAGAACTATAGCTAATTCCCTTTTTTAGGTTCAACTGTGGTGTTTTTTTTTTTTCTGTTTATTACTTGTAATGCATATTTCATAGGGATCCTATTTTTATTTTAGTTTTGAACTTTGCAGTAAGAAATCAGAATGAACTTCGTTGGTTTATGGTTCAGTTCAGCACCAGCATCCTACACTGAGAAGTACAGTGGTGAGACCTGAGCATAAGAAACAGGAGGGAGGGCTGCTGGGGGTGAAGTGGGGTCAAGGCCTTAGAGCCTTGCCCGCTTAGTCTCTTAGTCTCTTCCCTGGCTGCCCCCGGAGAGGGCCCTTGGCAAATCTAGGCCTTTATAGGCATCATAATTTAAAAATGACTGACGGTGGCTATCAATATGTCCTTTAATGTTTGCAGCTTTTGATTTTTGTGGGGTTAGAGGTTGTTTTATCTCGATTAGGTATAAGATAGGTGAAGACTGGTAGGTAGAAATCTCAGGCGTCCTGTTGCTCAGCAGTTTTTATTTTGTGTTTTGACTCCTTAGGACTTACTAAATTGATGTACAGTTTAGACTTGGACCCTTCCTTTTGAAGTTACTACTTCAAAATGAGCTAGAGCAGTGGTACACCCAACTGGTGTGTACTTAGGAGATGATTTTAGATGGTGTGTGGACATATTATTACTTTAAGTTATAATTTGTATTAGAAAAAATATAATCATTCTATCAATCTTGTTTCATAGAAATAGTAAGGACAAGGTTGAGTAAAAATAATTGGTATGAAGAAAAATATTGAGTAAATATAGTGCAGGTGGTGAGCAGATACAAAGTCATTAAGGTGGTATGTGAGAGACAGGAAGCCAGGGTACTGATCATGTTTGCATCAGAGGATCGAAAGGCAGAAGAGGGCCTACGGTGATCATCTAGTCCAGATCTGTTACTTACAAATAAGAGTTCAACGATTTGCCCAAAGTCAGACTTCTTTGTAAGTTCTTTTGAAATTATCATTTAGAGTTCCAGTCTTAAGATATATTTAGTACTGAAATTTGGGGGAAGGATTATTTATTCTGGGAGAAGTCCACAGAAAGCTAGAAAACAGAAAGTAAGGTATTTTTTCGATATTGTATCCGAGTTTGATCCTCATAACCACCTTTTGAGATAAATAGAAGTTTTACAGAAGAGAAATTAGAATTACAAACTGAAAGCAGTATTTAATTTAGTCCCCACAGCAATCCTGTAAAACAGGTAAGATAAACAGTGCGTCCATTATACAGATGAGGATAATAAAGTTCAAAGGAAGTATGTAGTTTTTAATGTATGGCAACTCAGGGGTAGGCTGGAACTAAATGTTAGGTATTCTTAATCTAGTTCTGTTTCTACTAACAATGGCTGCTGGTATGTGTTAACCAGTTACTTACTGGAAACATTGACCAGGATAAGGAAATAAAAGGTAATTTCATGCTAGTTTTCTTAGGAACAAGAACTAATAATAGCGTAAGTTCCTGTTTTGTCAAATAGAAAGTACTATCTTCTGCCATTTAAGTAATTGTCATGTATTAGAAGTTTTTGAAAAATTGTTACTTACCAAGGAATAGTCTTTTTTGAGGTGTGCGGGATCAGTATGCTATATTCATGGTTGCAACTTTACCGAATGGTGTCTGCGGTATGGTGAAAGAGTCAAACGGTCAAAGGGGCAAAGTAATCAAACAGCAGGCCACTCTTTAGGATCAGGTCTTTTTCATATAAGCTTTTCTAAAATAATCTCATTTATTCCTGCAGTTTAATCCCCTGTCTCCCCTTTACTCCTTGGATGTTCTCACTGACGCCTCTCACCGAAGATGTTCACCAGCACACTGCTCTGCCAGGTAATTGTCTTCTGGTGACGGTTTTCTTCCAGACAGTACCCTCTTCTTTATAACACTCTTCAAGTTATAAAGTGTATTTGTATATCATATCCAATTTGATCTTTCAACGACCTTTAGAGACCAGTAGATGTTTTACAGATACAGAAACCAAGGCAGTGTTGAAGTATCTTTCCTATGATCACATGGCTAGTATGTGATTTAAGTCTCAATTGTGACCTAAGTCTTCTGACTTGTATTAGAGCATGGATTCTTTTTTTGTTTTTTTAATAGCATGGGGCTTGAACTCACAACCCTGAGATCAAGACCTGAGCTGACGGGCGCCTGGGTGGCTCAGTCGTTAAGCATCTGCCTTCAGCTCAGGTCATGATCCCAGGGTCCTGGGATCGAGTCCCACATCGGGCTCCCTCCTTCGCGAGAAGCCTGCTTCTCCCTCTCCCACTCCCCCTGCTTGTGTTCCTGCTCTCGCTATCTCTGTCAAATAAATAAAATCTTTAAAAAAAAAAAAAAAAAAAAGACCTGAGCTGAAATCAAGAGTCAGATGCTTAACCAGCTGAGCCACCCAAGCGTCCCTATGTCTTCTGACTTGTATTTCCTATTTCTTCGGCTAAAAGCCCCATCTTCAAAGAACATTACTAATGGTCCTTGCCTTGACCTGCAAAATTCTGCGTAATTTGCCTTCTGCCTGCATTCCAGCCTCCTTTCCTATACTTCTTTCTCCTCACTAGGGTAGAGGTCCAGCTGTGCCAGGGAGCTCAGCTCCATTTTGTTCATCAAAAATAGCAACCCTTTTCTGCCCCTGAACCTTCACACTTGTTCCCTTTGTCTGGAGTCCCATGCTAAGCCTCTTTTTCACGGTTGGCTACTTCTCATCTCAACTCAAGAGAGGACCTCTCAGACCATCCTATCTAAAGGGGCCACCTCCACTGCTCTCTGCTCATTGATTTCTTTCTGCTAAAGCTTTATCACAGTCTATAATGAATTTGCTTGTTGGGTTCCCCCCCCACAACTTTTTTCTCCTGTCTCACTAGGATATAAGCTTCATAGTATGGGGACTTTGTTTAGTCTTGTTCCCTGATAATATCCCCAGCACCTAACATAGTGTCTGGCACTTACTAGACATTCGGTATGTATTTGTTAGAATGAATCCTTTGCCAGTGTGGCAGAATGAATCCTGCATTTTTCAATAGAAATTCTCTGGAGTTAGATGACATGGGAAGTAAACATGGTGTTATTGGTAGCATCCCCTAGCAGGGTTATTGTGCACAGAAGAGGAGCTGATAGGCTGAACCATAGAACTTTTATTATTTCTAGTGGCACAAAGGATTTCTTTCCAAGGTTCTGATGTGGTGGGTTTTTTTTTTTTCCTTTTGTTAATTCATTCTTAAGTGGATATGTTCATAAATTGGTGTGCAAGCACAGGAAATTATCCTTTCACAGATCCAATGAGAACTTCCACTATGGGCTGTAATGATAAATTCTGTCCCATAACCTATTGCCAACTGCCAAACCTTCTACTGGACAAGTAGTAATAAAGTAATAAATTACTTCCATAAGGCCTTCTCTTCAGTAGTGTGCTGTTTGTTCATCATTCACTCACTCAGCACTTGCTGACTCCATACTGTGCACTAGGCTCTTTGTTCAGCTACTACCCTCAGGAGCTTCCATTCTCTTGAGAAAGCCAGGCGTGGAAATCAGCAGTACAGTGTGAAGTGACAGGTGTGTAAAAATGTACACCAGAATGATACAGAGCCCAGAAGGGAGGCTTCTAAGTCAGAGGCTCAGGGAAATTTTCTTAGAGGTGGTGATCCTCAAGCTGTCTTGAAAGACCCAAGATTTCAATGCATAGGAAGGCGGTCCTCCAGCTTTTTGTCTTAATCCCACATGAAATAATGGCTGTGTATACTCTTTGGGAAGATTATATGAATAGCCCCATATCCCGTCAGATGCAGAAAGTCGATTCTTTGCCCTCCTCCCTTTACTTCTGTTACCTAAAGCTGTGCCTTACTGTGTTGAGATCAGTATCCATGCTTTTATCAGGTTTCCTCTTGCTTCTAAAGCCTCATGCTGCCTGGAGTGGGCGTCAGCTTTTGTTTCGTTATGTATCTTACCGTCCATGTCATTGTCTTCATTCTCCTGCCAGCAGTGCTTGTGGTCAGACTTGGAAATGTGAGGAAGTCTAGGCTGTGCTTCCAGTGCAGTCAGCTCTAGGGAAATACTGCTTATTGCTTTAGCCCACTGCTACAAACAAGGTGAGGGAATGTGGACAATTCTAGCTCATCTTTGTCCTTCTTGATGTCATTCCCAGGGCAGTGGATACAGAATGGGTTGCATTCTTTGGGGGTAGGGGAAGACTTTTTTTAAGATTTTATTTTATTTTATTTTATTTATTTATTTATTTGATAGAGACCTAGAGAGGGAGCACGGATAGGCAGAGTGGCAGGCAGAGGGAGAGGGAGAAGCAGGCTCTCCGTGGAACAGGGAGCCTGACACGGGGCTCGATCCCAGGACCCTGGGAGCACGACCTGAGCCGAAGGCAGCCGCTTTAACTGACTGAGCCACCCAGGCGCCCCGGGGAAGCCATTTTTTAAATTTCAGTTTATCTGATCCTTAAAAAATGGTTTTTTGTTTTAAATTGTACATAGAGACATCCAGTAGCACATATTTTTGTTTTATGTATATGTATTAACATACATAAAGGGTGTTTGTGCAAATGTTTTACTCATGAGGGAGCAGTCAGTAAAGTTTGGCAGCCATGGCTCTGTGGGAAATGGTCTGCACAAGCGACCTCTAAGCAATTTTTAGAAAATGTGGGTGATGAAACCCTGAGCCCTCAGGGCATCCTCTCACTGCTTTGAAGTTGGGGAGGAGGGTGGTCCCTGCCCAGCAAGGGGTCAGTTGAGAAGGAGCCATTTAGCTCGGGTGTGGCTGAAGGATAAGATGGGCTTCGGAGCTGGATGGTTGGCTTTGCACAGAGTGGACACCGTTTAACGAAGCCTGGTGTCTAGCAAGGAATGTTAAAGAGCCGTGGTGGCAGGGAAAAGGCAGGTGAATGACTGTATTAAAAACTGTTTCGAATGGAAATTTTATCTTTTTCTTGTTCCATTTTATTTGTAGTAGGAAAAGATTTCTTTCAAAGCGTCTGGGCAGCCTTGGGAATTTCACACCTATCATTAGAACGGGGTGTGTGTGTGTGTGTGTGTGTGTGTGTGGTGACTATGTTATCATTAGTGGTATAATTTTATTTTGCGAAGAGAGAAGTGTTTCCTGTTTTATCACAGCTTTCCCCGAGGAGGGCTGGTGTATTAATTTGCTGTATTGCCTCCTGGCTGTTCCCAGGCTGTTTTTCCTCTTCATCATGGAATTTTTAATGGCCCTGGTGCCTCTTGGGAAGCATGTGAGGAAGAGTTCCTCAGGGAGTGCTTCCCTTTTTTCACATGCCTATAATTACTCTCCTTTAAGAGCACAAAGAGTTTGATAATCATGCCTGAACTGTGAAGGTTTCCTCTTGTAGGGTTACTGAGCTGAGGTTGCTTCCTGCCTGGACATCCCTGCTCCACTCACCGGAACACTCAACTGCAGGAGACTGAGGACCCCTCAACTACCCTCTCACTGCTGGAGCCAGTCAGCTCTGGTTCTCACAGTGAGGCCTGGGGCTCACTGCGGGGGGCATGAGTGACCTCAGGGACTCTCATGTTTAGTGTTTAATTGATATAAACAAGGAAATGATGGGACCATGATTTTAAGAGAACACTTTATTGATGTATCATTTTAATACAGCCCCAGATGGCAGGTGCAATGGATGGGCGAGGGAGTCTTTGTGGTCTTTGTACCACCTAATAGATTTGTGGGTTATGAGGTTTTCAGAACTACCACTCTAGAAATACTTAAATTTGGTGTTTTTCAACTCTCACTGCACTTTTGAATCACCTGAGAAGCTATAAAAATATAGCCATGCTGAGCCCCACCCCAAAGATTCTGACTTAACTGATCTGGGATGAGGCCCAAGCATTGGCATTGTTTTTAAGTGACTCTAATACGCAGCCAAGGTTACGAACTGTTGCCCTAAATGCATATGATTTTATGGCTGGTGCTTTGTAATTTTCTTAATAGGAAATCCCGTTTTGTAATCAGCATGAGCTCTGTGATTTGGTATTGGTGCATGAGTTCTTATGGGACGTGGAATGGTGGACTTCAGTTTGGAGGACTTCTGAAGTGAAGAAGAGAATGTCAGTGTCTAGCACAGTACCCGGCACATAGTGACTGATGGGCGGACTTGCTGGGTAGGTGTTTGGATAGTTGGCAGGGTGCATGGATGAACTTCGTAAACCAGCTGTTTTGGTTTGTTTTGGTTGCTGGTATTGGGATGTTGTATTAAAGTAGTAATACTTGTTATCGGCCTTAGGAATTGCTGCTGCTCAAGCAGCAGATGGTGTGATTGGTGTTTGGGTAGTGGCAGTGGTATTGCTGTCAAGGACACAGTTCTAGAATGGTAATAAGGAGCTAGTGCTGGAGGCAGCTTTTCCCAAAATGAGAGATTTATTGATTGTGAAGGATAGCTTTTCTTACCATGATTGCTGTAGAAAACCATTACTAGAACTTATCAAACGCTACATCTCTCTGTATGATGCACAAGTCACCAGTTGTGGTTTTTGAGTGTCTCGTGGCAGTTTTGAGTTTTCTCCAACTTTCCTTACCTTTCCTCTGTTGCGGGTGGTGATACGGTGATGTATCACCACTTCCGTTTATTCCTTCTTTAAGTTTTTAATCTCACGTTAGTGGGTATTAGTGTGAGGCAGTCCCCAGTAAGAATCTTGGCTTTATCTGGGCAAATGACTTAACATCCCTATACCTCAATTTTCTTATATTTAAAACGGAAATAATCATTTTTAGTGGGCTAGTGGGGATCAAAATGAAATCATGTATTTGACTACTTAGCATGCTGGAAGCTAAGATGATTATTTTTGTTACATTCCCACTACCCCTACCCTGTCCTTAGGATA